GGTGCTATTTCAATTTTATTGTATCTATTGAGACTTGCTTTGTGACCAAGTGTGTGGTCAATTCTGGAGGAAGATTGAGGTAATGAGAAGATTGTATATTCTTTTGTGCTTGGCTGAAATACTCTGCAAACACCTCTTAGGTCTATTGGTAACATCAGTTAGCCCCAGCATTTCTCTGTTTAGTTTTTGTCTGTATCTTTTCAGTTGTAGAGGGTGGGGTGCTGAGGTCTCTAAAACTAATGCTTTAAAGTAGTGTGGTAGAATAGGATTCAGGTCTAAGACTCTCAAGGATGTTGGTTGTTTTTGTTTCAGTTGAGTACTTGGACAATAGCAGAACACCATATAGTGAAGGTAAGAATTGAGGAGCTAGGCCTGATGAACATGTGCCAATGGAGGTAGAGGAGAGAAGAACAATGTTAGAAACAACATGGAAACAACAATGCTAGAAAATCATGGAATATAGAAAAGGGATAAACCTGAGGAACCAACTTTGAAGTTAGCACAGCCTCAGGAGCATTAGTAATGAAAAGATAGAGCTGAAAGTTAGTGATGGAGGTTATAGAGGATCTGGGAGTTTAGGAGCCTTCGAGCTCACACCAAGGAGTCAAAGCCTTTTATGCCCTGCAGAAATGATGTGGAACCACAGGAGGTTTTTAGGGTAGGTATTCATGAAATAGAGCTGATGGTTTGGGAAGATTTCTTTGGTGGTGGTACACTGCATAGACTAGAGGACACATCTTGTTCACTACACCATGGAAAACTTATGGCACTGACACTCAGCCCTCTCACTTTTACAAGGTGGGTGATCCCAAGACAGTGGCAGAGCCCTGGCTTGCAAGCAGTGGTTCTGAGCATACTCTGTAGTTCTGCTCTCTTGCTTCAAGATACCACTGCAGGGAGTCACACAGATGTGCACATCAATTCCTCCTCAAATGTTTTCTGTCCACCAAACCCATCAGGCAGCATGAAAATAAATGTTTGATTCACTTTCTTCTCCATTGCCTAGGGCTTCTCTTAAGACCATGGCCTCCACCAAACCTTAACATTTTTCTTACCATAGTAAGTTTGGTAATTCTCCCAAATTTACATGGTCTTTAACTGACATGAAAAAGGGTAATATATGGCTAGATCTTTAATTTGAAGTTAGCGACTTACTTGTGTTCCCTTTCTCTTTATAACTGTGCAAGATAGCTTTCATCAAAAAAAAGCATCTATTGTCCACATATGGCTCTGTCTCCTCTTTAATTTCTTCCTCTCTTTTTAATTTCTTACTTTAATTTCTTCCTCTCTTTTTCCTTCCCATGAATAATTTCTCCTCCATCCAACGAACTGAGACAAGGTAGAAGTGAGAATTTTCTGCTGTGCTGGACGCCAGCCAGTCCCCGTAACCCTTCTTGAAGTTTGAGTTTTAGGTATTTATTCATACTCTGAGTTCTGGGATCCAAATTCTGGTCCTCATGATTGTGGAGTAAGCATTCTTAGCTGCTGAGTGAGCTCTCCAGCCCCATGGCTTCTTATTTAGCTGAATTTGATCTTTGGAAGAGCTTTATGGATCCTAGTTCTGTGACTTATTATGATAATCTCCTTTCAAATATTATGGTCAACCCAATTGATAAGTGTATTCTATTCTTCATTTAAAGCACTATGGACCCTGAATAAGACAACTGAAGGCAAAGTATCACAACACATCCCTACAAACTTCTCTCAGGGAAGCAGTCTAGCCATTCACCCAAAGTCATTTGGTCATTTTACCAATTCATTAATCTAGTTCACAGTGCCACCATGACTCACTACTTTTTACTTACTACAAAGGTCAGTGATTCTGAAAGACAGTAATCTCCCTTATCTACAGGGACACATTCCAAGACTCTCAGTGGATTCATAAAACCATGGTAATCATAAATCTTTTTTTAAAATTTTTATTAATTATACTTTATTCACTTTGTATCCCCCCATAAGCCCCTCCCCCTAAATCTTTTATATGCAGTGTTTCCTTTATATATGGAGCTGTGATATAGCTTACTATTTAAATTATGCACTTTAAGATATTAAAATAACAATAAAATTGAATAATCATAACATAGTATAATAAAAGTTATGTGAGTATAAGTCCCCTATCAAATGTCAAGATTGTTCTATGTTTCCTTGTTGTTTTTCTTTGAGTAGGTTTGTGTTATTTACATGAGGAGGCAAGTAAGGTGAACTATTTAAGCACTGTGCAGGGTTAAGTATTTCCAGAGGGCTACCTGAATACAAGCACTGCTAACCCCTTCACAGTGTACTAGCAAAGGGTGGCTACAAAGACAGCATATGCTCAGTGTGTACAAGGACAAAGACCTGACTCACTTAGCAGGCAATATGCAGCAGAAGATTTCATCACACTAGCTTTCATGCAATTTAAAAATCTATTAATTATTGCTGGAATTTTCCATTTAATTTCTTTTTAGGAAACCAAAAAAAAAAAAAAAAAAAAAACAAATCTGAAGAGACAATTATGGACCACAACTACGGTTCCTCATTTAATTTTCCTTGACCTGAATTTTCAGCCTTGTAGAAATGTTGGGGGCTTATCCTAGCAGACTGGAGCAGAGCCCCAGCAAGCCCAGGCCCTAGGCTCTCTGTCTAGCTATTTCCGTATGGAGCGTACCTGATGTGGGATGGACTACCCAGGAAACTGTTGTGCCTTTCCCCACTGGCTGTTTTCAGAAAAGTTGTGATTTTACAAAAGTTGATTTAGGTCTGTTCAGGATTAGCCAATTAATATACCCACACACACATACATTTTCAATATTATCATCACCTGTTCATACAATTTGTAGAAAATAAAACACAAGGTATCTAAAATGTTTAACTCACTTTTGAGCTTTTAAAGAAATCAACTTAAAATATGGATCTGTGATATAAATTTACCAGTAATCATTAAGCAATCCACTCTCAATCCCAACATTTCCTTACTGAATTTGAAATGGTCAAGTTTAACACAGGACCGAGACTGGCTAGCTTCCTATCCTGCATAACACTTTTTCAAGCCGCTGCTGGGACCCAGGAGCACCACGGCATGTAGCCTACACCTTGTGTATGCATTTGTTCTCAAAAGTCACTTTATTTTATTGTAAATAACAAAGAAAGCCTCTGTCTACTCTTCTGGTCTGAGTCCTACTTTGTAGGAACCCTCTGATTGGGATAAAAGCATGGAGTTATTTATTGTCAAACTTTTTTGTTTTGTTGTTGTGTTTGTTTGTTTGTTTTTGTTGAGATAGCATTTCCCTGTGTAGCTTTTGCTGTGCTGGACCCGCTTTGTAGACCAGACTGGCCTTGAACTCACAGCTATACACCTGCCTCTGCCTCCCTGAGTTCTGGGATTAAAGGTGTGCACCACCACTTCCAGCTTTTTTGTCAAACTTTTAAGCAATGGTTCTCAACCTTCCTAATGCTGCGACCCTTTAATACAGTTTCTAATGTTGTGGTGACATCCAACCATAAAATTATTTTGTTGCTACTTCATAACTATAATTTTGCTACTGTTACGAATCTTGATGTAAATATCTGATATACAGGATAGCTGATATGCAACCCTGTGAAAGGGTTGTTCAACTCCCAAAGTGGTCACAATCCACATGTTAAGAACCACTACTTTTAAGTAACACAATAGTCACCAGGTAGTAAAGCAAAAATTTCTGTCATCAGTTTACCTCCTTTGATGTAACTCATCATGATTTTCAATGAAATATTTAGATAACTATTCTTAGGTTATAGAAAGACCTATGAACTTTTGAGATTTTTTTTTCTTCTTTATTCATTTAATCACTTTACATTTGATTCCAGCCCCCTCCCTCCTCTTTTTCTAGCCCCACTCTCATGTCCCCTCCTCACATTCCCCACCTCCTTCTTCTCAGAGAAAGGGAGGCCCCCGGGGGTACCAACCCACCCTGGCATTGAGAACGATTTTTAAATATAATACAGCTTATGCATTCAGATCATAGATTTGTTCAGAATACACTCTAATGGATCTTCACATGTTCGTTTAAGTTAAAATCATTTAGATAGAAAAATTATAACTGAATGTAATAAAATACTTTTTGTATAATTAATCTATGGCTCCGTGACTGCATTTTAGTCAAAAATTTTTGGCTTTTCACACTGTGTGTGTGTGCTTGTGTGTATGTGTGCGTCTGCATTGCATGTCTGTGTATATATGTGTTTGTGACTAAGTGAGCATAGTGATTAATAAGACTGGTGCTTTCATATGTCAGAAACGGGAATGCATTATCAACACTGTAATATCAGGATCCCATGTTCTCAAAGTCTAGAATGATTCACTTCATTATGTACATCACTTTATGAAGACTGTTTGCTTTCTCTTCTTTCTGTTAAGACAATTAATACCAGCTGTTTCATTTTTGCTTCAATGTTAAATGATGTCAGTGGTGTGGGGACTTACTAGTAGATGCTTCTGAAACTGCAGAGCATGGGGAGAGAGACCAGTAGTGCTGAGGAAATTTCAAACTAAAAATACTAGCCAACTAGAAGTCATTTTTTCATTCTCAGCTCTTTTTATAGCTTTACAAAAGGAATGTATTCTGCTTCCTTTCAGGAAAGAGCCTCAATTGTAGTTTCTTAACATGGCCTTATGAATAAATTATCTTTAACCTAACCTAGGAAAAACTTTAAATCATCCAGTACAATATTCTTCCCTACCTCTTTTTTGAGCTTTGGGATATGTATTCAGTAGTAGTTCTTGATAATTTGTTAACAAGCCATTTTTAACCTTTTGGACAGATGCACATACTGTTTTCAGTCTTCATGGTTAATAATTCGATTTTGTATTTGATCCCAGAACACCCTGACTCTTAATCACTGCTCATTGTTGCAAGTCTATTATATTCTAACTGTTTGAGTGCTCCCATTGACCTTGAACTGACATTATAAGCTGTGTCTAATCTTTTCAGTCTATATTCTAATGCTGCTTTTCTTCTTCCTTTTTTCTGATCCCTGTTTAGCATCACAATGGGGCTACCTCTGAGCCCAGCAGCTGACTCTGCCCGCTCTGCAAGGCATGCCCTTTCTCTCATCGCCACTGCCCGACCACCCGCCTTCATCACCACCATAGCCAAGGAGGTGAGCCGCCTTCTTCACATGCTCCATCGTCCCTCTCAGAGGAATTCCTCCATTCTGTAACCCAGGGCTCAGACCCACAAATAAACCAAGTTAACAATTTAGTGCTAGAATGAATGTATCATGTCTGCATGCACTCTGAATTCCACAGCTGTGTATACAGGACTTGTTTTTGTGTTCCTTTCTGTCTCAGAATGAACACACTTGTGATATTCGACAATACCTTTCAACATGAAAAGTGCTAGGTCTGTGTGAAACTAAAAGGTATTAAAGGTATTCACATTTCTTGGTATAAGCAAATACTTATAATCAAAACTAAATTCATTTAGATTTAGCAATGGCTCTCCAACTATATGTAAAAACTGTAAGCCATAAAATCACTGATTGTGTTTCCTGTTCTATGTCACAGATAAAGACTTGAAAGTCCATTGATTCCCACATTCCTGGTGTTATACTTAATTACTCATCCAGCTGACAAACTAGTAAAGAACAAGGAACCAATTCTGTGTTCTTTCCTACATATCCTAGTAGTGAGAGAAAAAGAAAAGGATAAGTTCCTAAAGGTTTTAAAGGTTTGTTCCCTTTTGGCATCAGTACTGCACAGCTCAGTGTCCTTAGGCTCTGGGCTCCTGTTGCTATGGTGAACTTTTACAATAGTAGATTCCCTCTGAGTCTGCTCTGATAATGTAAACCTGTTGGGTCTACGCCTGCCCCAGAGCCATTCGTACAGGCATGCTGCGAAAGCAGCTAGAAGGGACGGTGGACAGTCCCTTTTTGATTGATTATGAAGCCGTGGGGTTATGAAATCATATCTAAAGTAAAGCTGTGCACTACAGGTATGGGGATAGTAAGCTTTCACTGTGTTTAAATTACACACACACTTCATGTACACTGGTAACAAATGTGTGTGTGTTGTTTAAATGAATAGTTTTATTTAACTTGGAAATTTCTAACCAGTTTGCCCCATGCATGGAATGTGCACAGGTGGTGGGTGACATTGATTGCCTTGAGGAAAGTAGGTCTTTATATTAATTATATTTCTGAATGTTATTTCATATTACTTACATAGTATTTTTGAATGAAATGTCAGGGTACTCATACTGAAACATTTGGTTGGAAAGGTCATTTAAAATATTTTAATTAGTAGTCTACAATTATTTATTTCCAAAACAACTTTGCTAGTACAACTTTTAATCTTGGATCACTCAAAACAGCACTAAGGTATTTCTCACTTTCACTGTTGTTCACTACCCTGTCTCTTGACCCACTGCTCCATGGCTCACCTGGGACTTGTCCAAGGCTGTAAATATTTTGTCTCATTTGTTCTGTAGAGTTTATAGTTTCTATGAGAAAAAAATCCCAGTAATTTTCTGTTATTTTTTATGCTCATTCCTTTTTGAGGCTTGTTAACTTAAACTTCCCAACTTGCTTATAACATTCCTAGAACAGTTAATACCATGTAAGTATTGTCCATCATTATTAGCAGACATAATGGGTCATGTTGATGCTCTGTGGGCATTTCCTAAATGTGCCATAGAGCAAATTACCAAACTGTTCTTCAGTTTGTTTCTTTTTAAATGTCATGATAATATACAGTCATATCCTACTAAACACACTCACATCTAAAATATCATAGTAATACTGTTATGGTCTCACATAATACTCAGAAACTAGTTGGGCAAGGTGTTATATATCTATAATCCCAGTGTATGGCAAATATAATGGAGGCAGGAGAAACAGTTCAAACTCATCTTTAGCTGCATAGAGTTGAAGGCCAGCCTGAGCTACATGAGATTCTTTCTCAAAATGATGATGGTGATAATGATGATGATGATGGTGATGATGATGATGATGATGATGATTGATGATGATGATGATACACCAGGAAGTTGTAGAATTTTATTAGACCATACTTACTTAGCTCTTATTGTATGTAATGCTTTTTGTGATTAAAAAACAATTTCTAACCTACCCTGAATGATTTGTTTTTACAGTTCTGGTTGGTTGTATATTTCATTTTTCTATAATAAGTGAAAGTAAACCAGTGACTAGAAGTGTAAATATGTATGGAGCAGCAACAGTGTCTACAGTGTGACAATTCTTTTGTAGGTACACAGACACACAGCCCTTGCAGCAAATACCCAGTCACAACAGAGTATACACACAACAACCCTAGCCAGGGCTAAAGGGGAGATCCTGAGAGTTATTGAAATTCTCATTGAAAAGATGCCTACAGATGTTGTGGATCTTCTTGTGGAGGTGAGACTATCCTGCTTCCAGTATTCCTGTCGATGCATTAACTACTTGAGCTTAAAAATAATGGAAGAGGAGGAGGGGAACAGAGGGAGGAAAGGAGAGGGAATGTGTCACATAACTAAGATTAATTAACCTACGTGCCTTAATCGTTTCTTCAAAACTAACACTGATTGCTATAGCCATTAGACCATTCACATGGAATTTATATGTATTAGACTATTTTAAAGGCTTTGTTGTCACCAACATTCATTGTAAATAAAACCACTTACACTATGCACTTGAGTGGCAGCCCTACTCTGCACGTGAGCATAGTCAGCATTAAAGGATGTGAGTCTATCTGTTGGTACAGACAAGACCAAGGATAGCCTGTGGTGTCCATAGGCTTAAAATTGTTTTTTTTTTCTCTTTAAAGTAAATACTAAATCAAAGTGTATGGATTTACATAGACACAATGAGGTCTAATGGAATCATTTAAATTTTCGGAGATCAAGCATTTGAAATTAATTTTCCATCTCTGTCTTTCTTGTCAAAGGTTATGGACATCATCATGTACTGCCTTGAAGGATCCTTAGTTAAAAAGAAGGGTCTTCAGGAATGTTTTCCAGCTATCTGCAGGTAAAGAAGCCTTCAACATGCAAAATAATTGATTTCCAGTGACAAATAATTTAAAAAATTAGTGAGGCTAAATGAGAAAACCAGGTATTAATCATTATTTGCTTACTTTGTAGAATAACTCTGACAGCTTGTGATAAGAACATAAAAATAATAGAACTAGTTATTTAATCAGTTCACAAGGACATTTTGCTTGTCTTAAAAGTATATTATATATGTCTGTTCTCACAGTCTACTCAACTTACTATTTGTGTTACAAAACACTTAGAACACTTCTGACTTAGGAAAAGTGTACTTGCCAGCAACAGAAATCAGCAGGTCTCCTTTTCACTCACTAGTAAATTTTATTATGAGAATAATATGAGTATTTACATTATGTCCTATTAGTGTATGTATTTCCCCTGTGAGGTAATCAGAAAAAAGTAGGAAAACTAAAACTTTGCAAATTGTACTAAGAATATTAAGTATAAGTTAGGAGTGCTCTTTTATATAACATATAAACTTATATAACACATGGAATGAAGATTACTTTTGCATTAAAGTACAGTACATTGTGTTTTTTTTTTAAATTGTATTTTTGGGTAAATGTGCTTGTCCCATGAGCCTGACAATCTAAGTTTGATCCCTGAGACTCACATGATGGAATGAGAGAACTAATCCCTGCACACCGTGCTGTGACTACACACATCAGTCATCACCATCATCAGCACCACCACCGTCATCACCAATACCACCACCATCACCACCACCACCACCATCACCAATATCACTACCACCATCATCACCACCACCACCATCACCAATATCACCATCACCACCACCCCCACCATCATCACCATCACCATCATCACCACCACTGCCATCACCACCACCAACACCACCATCTCCTCATCATTGTGATTCACAAAAAAGCTTTTTAACTGATTCTAAAATATTTGTAGTTTAGAGCACTTTGTTTTATTTTATTACGTTTATGTAGTCCGTAGAAATAGTACTCAAAGCTGTCATAGTAGTTTTTCTCAGAGCACTTAGTTCCTCGAAGTTAGATGTAATTCTTTTGTTTGTAAGGCAAGTTCAGTGATAGCCTCCCTTTCCTTGCGTATGTCTGCAGGTACAGTGCAGTGTAAACTATAGTTGGCAGTAAGATTCCTAAGAAGAGTGGCATGGCAATATGCCACTTCATCTTGTCATTTCCTAACATTTCTGCAACTGGCTTGTTGAATGACTTGTACTCTCTTTATCTTCTACATATTTTTCTGTATGCTGTGGAACTTACATGCTAGTCTCTCATTTAGCAATTTGATTTTGCCACCTAGATGTTAAAATGTGAGCACAGATAAAGTCATGCTGTAACACACATGTACAGATGCTGTAGCACATGTATGCAGATGCGTTTTTTTCTTGTTATATAAATGAGGCAAATTAGAATACAGTCTTTTTTTTAACATTGGATATTCTGTGGTAACTGATTATGACTACATATAGCTGTCATTTCCCAGCTGATTCCTTTCTACAAGAAAAAATACCCACATGAAAATGGAGGTCACTTGTCTTTTGCTAAGTGGAGATGCTAAAAAAGTGGTTGAATTAGGACTTAATTTATTGAGTGCTAACAATGTTGGTAAAGCACTAGCCACTGCTATGTAAATTAGCTTCCCGGAGCTCATGTGCATAAGCTACTCACTCAAGGGTCTGTTTTCCAGCTTTGCCCAGAGCCTCCTTCATAAGCAGCTCCTTAGGCGGCTGTGCTCCGCTGATGCCCATGACTTGACAAAGTTACCCTGGAAAGGGGGAGCTGTGCTGGATGCCTAGCAGATTTGTCTTTACTGAGCACTACATATACAGTTTCCCCTCTGACCTGGCAACGAGCAATTGTGCTTTGTTTATTGATTTAGTAGTATTTTATTGAATAGCAACTAGGTATCAAGTACTGGCTGTTCTCTGGGAAGGAATGGTAGATTAGATAACCCTGTGCTCCAGGATCACAATGGGTAATGTGGAGAAGATTACATAGGTTCTGTGCTAGACTGCCTACCAGGAACTGGGCACAGCAATAAATATAATGCTCAATTCAGTATGTGGAATCTGAGAAATTTTATAAGGAGAATGTAGAAAATAATAGTTATCCATTTAAAATGCCTTTACAAAATGGCTGCCAGGTAGAGAAAGATTTGTCCTGTGAGAGAAGTGGAGTGATGGCTGTCAGAGCAGTGGTGGGCCATAGGAACATTTCATAGAGCTGAGCAGGTGGGCTTTGCGAGCTGGAAAGATGTGTGTCATTGTGAAAGGCAGCGAGAACCACGCTGCTGTGTGTACAGACAAGTGTACAGCAAGTTCGGCCGTGCTGTGCAGTGGCTGGCTAAGATGGGGGCTTCACACAGTGGTGTAGAACTGAGCTTTGAGCTTTGAGCTCCCCACAGAAGAGTTTAACCTTTGTTGAATGAGGAAAGGAGAGTTAGAAAAGCTTAAGCACATTATTAAAGTGATAATCAGAGATACAATGCAAAATTTCATTGTAAAATAAGTACTTATATTTTTAGTAAAATAAAAAAATCACTATGAGCTCTCCACAAGGACTAAATGATCTATGGGATCTATGAGAGTATTATGCACTTTATTTTTTGTTATATATTTCATATTTCTTATATAAATATAAGTAAGTTTGATAATAAATATACATATTTATGTGCATAATCAAAAAAATATTTTAGACAGAAGAGTTGAAAGTTTATGTTTTCAGAAATGATTTAGCTTTTCTTAACTGTGTTATTATGTAGACAGACTGATTGATTTTCCTTTTCTAGTAAAAAGCTGAATCAGCTCATTTCACCTTAAATGGGCACTTAAATTCTAGTAAGAAATTGCACAGTCTGCTGCAGAGCACGGCATGAGCTCATTTTCAGGGGACGCCTCCAGATTGTGGTTTGTTCGGTGACAACAGCGATGACCATAGACCAGCTTCTACCGTAGCTTCCAGTAAAAGTCTTAAGTTAGTAACTATTTTAAACTAGAATTTGATACTAAAACCCTCACTAGTAGGAATCTCTCTCATTATTTTATCCCTATTCCTTACACCTAAAGTGTATGTATCAAAATCTTGCAGTACTAAAAACCTCCATGTTAAAATAAACCAAAACAGGGCTTGGGTGTGCTCCATTGTACAGCAACTAGCATGTGTGACTCCCTGAGTTTGATTGTATTAAATAAATTTATGCTTGTATAACTCTAGATCTTTTATCTATATTCCATTGTACAACAAGAATAGTTAATTTTAAGGTTAACTATTATAAAGAATGAAAATTTAAGCTGCATCTAGTGGACCATACCTATAATCCCAACACTTGAGAGGTAAAGGCATGAGAATGAGGAATTCTAGCCCATCCTTGGCTAGTTAATAAGTTCTAAGCCAGCCTGGGCTACATGAGACCATCTCTCAAAAAAAATTAAAACAGCAAATAAGAATCAAATTTTATTTTATTTGAAAAACTAAAATAATAAAAGATTATACTTGTAGCCAGGTGTGGTGGCACATCTTTTTAATCCCAGCACTTGGGAGGTAGAGGCAAGTGGAGCTCTGAGTTCAAGGCCAGCCTGGTCTACAGAGGAAGGTCCAGGACAGCTAGAGCTACACAGAGAAATCCTGTCTCTGAAAATATAAAATATAAAATTAAATTATTATACTTGGAAAGCATAAGTCTTTTAAAATCTGTAAATTTGGACTATTTGAGCATTCATTTCTTCTGTTTATTAGAATAACATTAGTGACTAATTATTGCCATAACTACTAACCTTGTTAGTTACATCACTACCACATTGAGCAGTGCAGATGATAATGATGTTGTTGATGATGATTATGATGATGGTGATAGTGATGATGACCATATTTGCCATGGAAAGAGTAACACTCTCTGAATAGGAATACAGTACATTACACTCTGCTGAGTACTTAACTAGTATGAACTCTTTTCTATTTCCCACAACTATAATAGGTGGTATTCCTATTTTGCAGATGAAGACACTGATGAACAGATATTTCCTGAATAGATGAAATGAATAGATTTAAGTAACTTGCCAAGGTTACAGTATTAGTAAGTACAGAACCAGATAGTGAGGTTTCCGTTTCTCAACCATTACACAGAGCCATTCCTAGTACTTTTCTTGTCAAGTACTATGCTCTGTGCCTAGCCCCACGTGCATTTCCATTCCTTTCTTTATCACCCTAGCCACAGGATGCTATGGTACAGTATCCCCTCCCCAGAAGGAAAATAATTTACTCATTAACCACTCACCAAGAAGTATTTTATTTACTTAAATATGTAAGACCCTGACTGGAAATAGTGACTCTCAAGCAGAATTGTTCAGCATCAACTTCACAGACTAGGACATCTTCTATTTTCTTTTTTGAGCTGGTACCCTCTGCTAGCATTAAGTGCTTCTAGAAAATGCCTATTCATGTGTATGTACAAAAACCTACACCTCAGTTCCTGTGAACGTGCCTTCACCATAGCCATTTTTCCATGCCTATAAATCTTGCAAATATGTGCACAGTTTGGAGGTCTAGAATTCGTAGGGGCAGGAATGAAAATGGTCTTTGAGGTCCCAGACGTAGTATTGCCTTTCATTGCATCTCTGTGACTGTTGGCCTGAGGACCTACTTCTAGTCTTCGTGGTATCTGTCAGCCAAGAGGTGTGGACATTGCTTGTCGCCTGTACCTTCTTGTGATGAGAGTGAACAATCCTTGCTTCACTGCAGAAGTCCTGTCACTTTTTTCTTCAATACCTGTATTAGAAGTGAAATCTTTCCTCATGGATAATTGAGAACACATCGTGAATAACTCAATCCTAGTCACTCTGCATGATGAACAAAGGGACACAATATTCTGTTGGAGAAATTTTAAGGAGTTTTCCTTACATTATTAATAAAGCTTACATATGCTTATCCTGCAGAGTATAAACATATGGATCAATCTTTAAAAATTGCATACAAAATAGAACAAAAGTGC